TTTAATCACATCCTACATAAAGGCCCTGCATTTTATTTTTTCGGCATTACAAATTGTACAGGATGATACATGATTTTCTTGCTCAGTCTTTGTCCTTTATTAAAAATGCTCCTTATGCTTTTTTTTTATTTCCTGCGAGCCGTTCCAAGGATGAGTCGTACGTCAGATCTTTACCCAGTCAAATGATATCAAAGGTTTAGACTTTTTTTTATTCTCTTCTTTCCGGGCCCAAACTGATGTAAAATACATCAGAAAAGAACAAGAAACAGAAAGAGAAAGCCAGAGAACCCAGTGGGAGCAGAGAAGCATTTTAAGCTGCGCAAGGCACAGAACATTCATTGGAAATAGCAGTGTGCAATTTCATCATTACTTATTTAGAAAAAAAAAAAATTAAGCCTCCCAGCAGGATTACACAGCTCTTTTTTTACACCACTCCAGTTTTTGTAGCTGGTTAAATGTTAGCTGTATTAGGAATTTCCATGATGATTACAGTAGAAACGCTGGAAAGTGTCAGAGCCGCCTCCAGTGATGAACAATATAAAGACGGGGTGACCTTTAACTCTAACATTATTACACTGGAAGAAATGTATGGTAAGGGATTGTCACTTCCCACTAGGGACACTTTTATTCACTCGCTTCTTTTTTACAGCATAACTTTCGTTAAACTTGCTGTAAAGAGATTTACAAGAAGATCTCAGCAATTAACAGGTTACTGGTACTGGCATCTCTTTCTGAAAATGCTTCCTCTATGGCTGTCATACCCATCCTCTTGCTTAAAGTATTTGTGAACACAGTGCTCTTCAATCCAGTAGTAAGACAGCGAATTGGGCGGCACCGTGGCTTAGTGGTTAGCAGGGGTGTCCTTACACTATTTGCCATCTGGGTCAAGTGAGGGGAAAATTGAGGGTGCTGATGGTGGATGCTAAGAGCTCTTAGCAACCTGGTATATTGGTGGGAAGGTGTGCCTGCCACCCCTACTACATGACCCAATGAGATACCACTTGAAGCAACCACCTCATTATAGGGATGGTCCTGGTGGTTAGCACTTGTGCCTTGCAGCATCTGGGGTCCACGGAAGGAATCCTGGGTCAGGACACTATCTGCAAGAAGTTTGCATGATCTCCCTGTGCTTGCATGGGTATCCACACTCCAAAGACATGCTGGAAGGTTAATTGGCTCGTGTCTAACTTTATCTGACTTTATCTCATTTATTGATAGACATTGATCCTCCAGATATATAGTTTTACCAGTGCAACCTATTAAGGGTAGCAAACACTTGATATGGTACTTCTGTTCTTGGTGTTTTTATTCAGGTCCATGGATTTCATGATAGCTTGGACTTTCATATACATCTTGCTTTATTTGTCTTGGTTCCCCTCCCCACACACTGGCTGTTCGTCATAGGTGCCCACACAGGGCTTGTATTAATGATTCAGTTGACAACTGTGTAGGATAAAGTTGTATGTACTTGGAATTATGAGATTAGTTGACACTATGGTCCTATTAGATATATTCTTGTTGTATGTATTTCCTTTGAATAATATTTGGAGGGATACGTTCATGTTATATGCCTTTAACTAGCCATGTGCACATTTGTTTTCAGGGTCACGTCTATCGTTGTTTAACATTTTAAGATGTTTGCATTATATCTTTGCCTGTTACTTTTGCGTACGGGGCTCTGTATATGGTGACAGGCGTCCCCTGGTTGTCTGGCAATGCAGCGATCACCTGACTGACTACTCCACACCCATTGGCTGATGGACTGTGCAATGATGTTTGGGAACACACGTGCGCCGTAAGTACGTTGCGTGCGCACCCACCGAGCCTGTCCTCATACAGTGGTTGATCAGAGTGAATAGCCACCATGATGCACATATAAGACATAGCGTGTTTTGGCAGGAACACCAGGGGAAGTGTCACATTACACTCCTGGATGATCTATTTAAGGTATGTTCCGCATTAAGTACTTATGTGAATACTATATAGTAGATCGTGCCTCTATACTAATGGCGGGAAAATGACATCATTATGATGTCATAAGGGGGCTGGGAATTATTTTGATTGGTGGATGGGCTGTTTTCAACATGTATTTAAAACTCGTTATGTATTGTTGATTCACTCTCTGTTTGCCTGAGGAAGGGGCCGCAGGGTCCCGAAACGTTGCTTAGAGGTGTTATCACTTGGGTCAATAAAATCTTATTGACTTAATCATTTGGAGTGCCAGTGACTTTTTCTATTTTTGTGGCTGATTATAGTCTCCATTGGTGGTGCATGTGACAGGGGGACAATACAGGAAAGCAATACTTTCTCATTCACCGACCTAGAATAAGTACATCGTTACAGCCCGGGAACTAGTATCTTCAAAAAAAGTTCATCAATGACAGTATACATTTTTCCTCAGTACATGTTTCCTTTAAAAAGGAAATCCTTCCAAATAAATTATACAGACTTTTAATTCACTAGTCTCCGTTCACACCTGTGCTTTTTCGCCCATTGTTTATAGCGAGACATTGCACAACAAGAGCCAGTCATATGGGGTCATTTGGTTGTGAAGGATAGTGTATATTTCTACAACTTAAAATGATTTGCACGGACCTAACTTTAACCATCATTCTTAGCATTGTAAAAAGAAAAGTTCACACAAAACTAAAGTATATGCACATTAGACGCAAAAGGTAACATACCACTCCAAGCATTAAACTTGCACCATTGGGCCCCAATGTTGGTAACCAGATGGGCCTGGAGACATACAGTATTTGGGTCATTCGGGGCCTATTTGCAAAAAACACCTCAATAATATTTTTCTTACTGTATGTACCCTTACCTATTCATATAAGGGGATAGGGCAATATCTAGGTTCTAGGGGCCCCCTTATTTTAAAGAAGACTTCCAGTACCTGGTAAGTCCCGCCTCCCACAGACCCCCATATTCAGGGCATGGTGCCTGGTATGGTTCTTGGGGGGCGGGGCACATGCGTGCTGCCCCTCTCTGCATGTTCAGATAAGGGTCTGGTATAGATGAGGACCCCGTGCCATTTCTTGTTTGTTTTTTTGCAAGATTTCTCTTAAAAAACCATCACGATTGAGGGTCTGATATAGATTTTGGGAGGGGCCACACGCTGCTTTTTTTTTGTGTATGTCACTTTTACTGTAGAATGTACTATTAGAAAGAAAACACAAAAATTGCAGCTAAATTACATTTTCCTGACAGCTTTGGTTTTTTTCTACCATGCTGGTAGGCTAATTGGCTCCTGTCTAAATTGGCTTTTGTATGTATGCGTGTGAGATAGGGACCTTAGAATGTAGGCTCCTTAAAGGGCAGAGACTGATGTGAATGTGCAACTATGTAAAGCACTGCCAAAATTGTCAGCGCTATATAAATATCAGTCATGATAATAATACGTTTTGCACTGGCATTTGTCCTCTAGGGCAGTGCCCAGCTCTCAATGTCCTTTGTTTAACAATCCCTTGCCTATTATCCATAAAAAATGGGCAAAACTGATTACAAGATTTGCCTCCCTCTATTTTTAATTTTTCACTATTTAATACCACATTAAATTCACTATTCAATACCACGCATCACTCAGCGATACCATGCAGCACTCTGCAATATTATGCAGCACTATACAATACCATACAGCACTTGTTGTAAAGTAGCCACTGCTCTAAGCTCGCTCATGTGATGGACTACAATCTCTCGTTTAGTTAGCTAATTTGTATTGACGTTATAGTCTATCACGGAAGTGGGCTTGGAGTGGTGGCTACTTTACAACACACACAGGAACCATGGGGAACAAAAGTAGCGACCCTCCAGAAGGAAGGGCAGTGTCAGCACCAATTCAGAGATGATTTAAAGATCTACAGCCGAGTGATACACAAATAAGATACATTTTTGTTAATAGTTAAGGTACTTGAATGTATTTTTAAGATTAACTCCTGAGTTTAGTGTCACTTTAAATCTATAATCTACATTACAATAGCAATACAAATTAATAAACTAAACATGAGATTGTAGTCCATCACAGGAGTGAGCTTGGAGTGGTGGCTACTTTACAGCACACACAGGGGCCATGAGGAACATAAGTAGCCACCCTCAAGAAGGAAGGACAGTATCAGCACCAATTCAGAGATGATATGAGGCTCTACAGCCGAGTGATACACAAACAAGATAAATTTTTGTTAACAGTTGGGTTACTGAATGCATTTTTAAGATTTAACTCTGGAGTTTAGTATCACTTTAAATTGTAAGCTCCTTGAAGGCAGGGACTCATGTGAGTGCAGATTTATGTAAAGCTCTGCCAAAATTGTCAGTGCTATATAAATACCTGTCATAAATAAAAATTGAAAAGATGGAGTGTAATTGAAGAGCTATTTTCCTGTTGGGTCATACTTTAAAAGTAATAAAGAAATGAACCTTATTTCAAAACAAATATATATATATAGATATATCTATAGATATATATCTATATATATCTATAGATATATCTATATGTATATAGATATATCTATAGATATATATCTATATATATCTATAGATATATCTATATATATATATCACATATGAATAGTTGACCTATTTTGATTGTAAGATTTCCAGCACTTAGAGAAAGCTTTGTGTCTTTATAACAGAGGAAGACCATTGTATTAGACGTTACATTTGATGACACCGCAGCCAGTATTATACTGAACAAGGCAGCCTTCACTAGTGTGAATACATAGTCCTCCGCCAATGGTCTAGGAGCTGGTGGGAGAGGCTAGGAGTGGAGAAGGAGGGGATGAGGTGAATGGGGAATAGTGTGCTGCTGTCAGGCATAGCTCAACACACTTTTTCCTTTACAACTTTCTCCCTTTTACTTCTGATAAACTTTCATTCACAGGCTGCCTGTCCTCCTGACAGCTGCAGAGAGATGGCCAGAGAGCTGACACCATCCCATGCAGACAGACCAGACGCAGCAGTCATGACTTTTGACAACTTTTCCCCCTTCAAGAGAAATTAAAAAAAGCAAAAATCAAAAACTCCCTGGATGCCCGGCTGTGCGAAGATGCCCTAACATGGATCGTACACAGCTGCTCTACTGCTCTGTGCTCTTGGCCATTGTAGGCAGCTTGCTGGCCAGCAGGATGTGCCCGGACCTCATCACTGACAGCTGCCTATGCACCGTGGAGCGCTCTAAGGGACTCGGCAGACACAAAGTGCTGCACATCAAAGTGCTATGCAATGAAGGGGAGCTAGTGGAAACTTTACAGCCTGCTCTGCTGCCCAACCTAACAGTCAGCCTGTGAGTACCGTGCTAAGCCATATGTCACCACATTCCAGTCTTTATTAAAAGTGCACCAAATCACTTCTTTGTTTGTGTGATGCCGTTAGCAGGATCTAGAGCAGGGTGGGCAGCCTCAGCACTCCAGCTGTGATGAAACTACAGATTCCATCATGCTTCTGCCTCTGGGAGTCATGCCTGTGGCTGTTGGATTCTTGCAATGCCTCATGGGGCTTACAGTCCCACTAAAGATGAAGGTTGTCTACCTGTACAGTAGAGAGAGCTGCCTTAAAGCTGTTCTGGGAAGGCTGGGGCTTGTGGTACCACAGTAGCAACAGGATGGCGTGATGCCCCCAGCCTCAGCTGTAAAGATGCTATAGAGGCGTTGATAGGCAACAGATGTGCAGGATGCGGATGCCAGTTTGCAGCACCTTGGACAGATTAATGGAAACAGATTGTGTGTGTTTCAGCACATTATTGCTTTAAACTGGAAAGTATAATTGTGATAACTGATCGGTGTGGGTTAACAAATTATCAATCATTAGCAGTATGAAAAAGCAGTTTAAGTGGAGTTTTCAAAAATATCCTAGTATTAGCCTGATCATAAAGTTGTTCTGAAATATAGCTCACCTCCTAATTCACAAAGGTGTATTGACTGTTATTGCAGCAGTGACAGCTAATGGGGAACTAAAAACAATATGGCTGAAAAACTAGCAGGTTGTACAAGCATAATGTCTTGGGGTGGCATTTCTCTACCATGGTGCCATTGCACCCAGGGGTGTCTTCTGGCTTTGTCATGGGTGCCGTGAATTTGTGGCTCCTGATGTGAAAGGAGGGCTCTTGATGTGAAGGGGGTTTCTGATGGGAACAGGGTTCCTGATGTGAAGGGGGGGGGGGCTCTGATGAGAAAGAGGCTCCTGATGTGTAGAGGGGACTCTGGTGTTAAAGGGGGGACTCTGATGTTAAGGGGGCTCTGTATATGAAGGGGGCTCCTGATGTGATGGGGACTCGGATGTGAAAGGGGGGATTCGAAGGTGAAGGAGGGGCCTCTGATGTATAGGGGGGCTTTATGATATGAAAGGATGAGACACTGATGTGAAGGGGCTCCAGATGTGAAGGAGGATTCTAATGTGAAAAAGGAGACTCTGATGTGAAGGGGTAAACTCCATGCCACTTTTCTTCTTTTTTTTACGTGGGATTCCCCTTAAAATCCACACCAGACCCCTTGCTAGGTTAAAGCTTTGGCATTGATTTTGGGAAGAGAGGGACTACACATCGTTTTTACTTTTTGTTTTTTACATTATAGATGCTTGCTCATTGTTTCATCAACTAATGTTTAGGGCTACTTCATGTGTTTCCATTAAATTATATATGCCTTTAAATGCATTTGACACATTTTTTATAGTTTCATGCATTTAATATGCATTTTTATGCACATGCACTACAACATTTACTTGAATCTTGGTATGCTTTGTGTATTTCTTCCAGATCTGTGCAGTATTTCAGCATGAAACGTTGCCTCTGTGCAGGATCTTCCTGTAATATTGATCAGTCACCTTGTGCAGGGTAACTGATCTTGTCTATGCCCTCTTCTGTAGTTTCCTGCAAGCAGTCTGTAGTGGGTGGAGCCTGCTGGGTTCCTCCAACAGCTGATGTCACTGCTACATTTACTGGGTGTGCAAAGGCATTTGGTGCACACAACATTTTTTTAAAATCCTTTTTGCCGATTGAATATATTTAAAGGAAAGTTTCTGTGCCCAGAGCTTTATGTTATTAACTCTTCTTAGCCCTGAACTTTGAAAACACATGTTAAATGCATGTATGAGGCATGTTCATACAATTCCATGCATCTTACAAGTGCTTGTACAATGCCGCATGGTGCATCTTCTCTCTCACAGTCATTGCTCAGAAGGCAATGGGCTTCATAGAAAATTATGCATGTTTGATTATCTGTGAATTTGCTTTGGCTATAAAATGTAGCAAATGCATGAAAACAGAGGCATTGTAAATGAGCGCTGAACAGACAAAAGTTCTACATGTGTTTGACCAACTCAAACTGTATCTAAACCCAAGAACATCAATGTAAAGTATTGCAGCTAAACAGTCCTTAGATGTGGTGGTTACATCAGTTTTCTTTTTTTAGACTTTTTTCCCCCTTTCCTATTTGCACAATGGTAATCCTGCCGGTGACACACGTCCTGTCCTAGGGTGACAATACTATCTTACCGTACTGTATATATGAAGAAGCACAAGAAATGTGCCAGGATTACAGAACATATTACAGAACACTACCCCCTCTCTTCATCTCCATAACATGGGGAAGAGGTGTTTTGTAGTCTAAATGTACCTTCTGACCTTCTAACATTTCTTAAGACAATCCTGCAGAGTGTACAGGACACAGGATAACACTGGAATTTTGCAGAATCAACAGGTATTTCTTTGCACTTAAACATGTTCTGTGGTATATTTAACAGAATAAAAGGAAGCAAATAATAGAAGTTCATTGATAGGGTTACGTAAACTTTAATGTGGACCCCCATACCCACAGGACACACAATGTGAAAGTTGATGTCACTTTCATAGTTCATAGAGGATGTTTAGTTGGCCTGAAATTCCACTGTTCCAAGTCAAGAGACAACAGTAACATAGAACATTTTCTATTACTGTAACAGTGATAAGAATCTGTAAATTGATCCTTTATGTCCTTTATGCTTGCCATTATCAGGCTGGTATTCAATTCAGGGCTGTCTTTAATATTGATTGGACCCTGGGCAAAAAATGTCTTGGGCCTCCCCTGCCCCTACCCACAATGCCTCCTCCACACCTTGCCATGTAATTTCACTATCCACCCCAACATCTCCCCCCCCCACAAAAAAAACACACACACATAGGAGGAGACGTCAGAGGGAGACGCGACACCTTGTGAGACATCACGCGGGCAGGGCCAGAGCGACACTATGCAATGCCTTGTTAACAGAATGGTGCTGCATGTGCATCTTTTGCGGGCTCAAGGAGCAGCTGCTTTGGGCCCCACAACAATGACTGGGCTTGGGGCAACTGCCCCTTTTGCCCCGTGTTAAAGACAGCCCTGATTCCATTAAATCCATACTGCTATTTATAACATACAACTTTTTTGGCACTGAAAACGAGTACAAATTCTTCTTCTCAGCTTCTCTATTAGACCCAAAGTTAAAACATGTTCCTAACGCTAAGGCTTCATTCACACTTTCTTCTCCTCTTACCTGAATAGCTAACCATACAAAAAAAAAATAGACTGGGAACCTTTACCCTCTCAATGCTTAACATTGACACTTAGGGGGGCGTGGCTTGCTCATGGCCATCACAGCTCTCTGCCGTGACAGGGGAGGGGCTGGATTCCCCCTCCCTGCTCCGATCCGCCAGCGCTGACTGGCGGATCGGACAGGGAAGGGGGCGGGTACAGCTGGTTCTGCCTTTAGATAGGCAGAGCCAGCTGTCACTCACGCAGCTGGGCGGATCCAGACATAATTGTCGTGATCCACTTCAGCTGCGGCGTCTCAGTATACCGCGAGCTGTAGCTCACGGTATCCTGAGCTTAGGGTGATGGGAGGACGCTAGTTTGTGTCCTCCCTTTACCCTAAGGAGAACTATGGGGAAAAGCCTTAACCCCATAGTTCTCCTTTTAGCCTTAAAGTAACACTAAGCTCAGGAGGTAAATCTTAAAAATGCATTCAAGTACCTTAACTATTAACATAAATGTATCTTATTTGTGTATCTCTCAGCTGTAGATCCTCAAATCATCTCTGAAATTGTGCTGACACTGTCCTTCCTTCTGGAGGGTGGCTACTTTTGTTCCCCATGGTCCCAGTGTGTGTTGTACGATGAGCTCCAAGCTCACTCCCGTAATGGACTACAATCTTATGTTTAGTCTAAAAATTTGTATTGAGATTGTAGTCCATCACGGGAATGAGGTTGGAGTGGTGGCTACTGTACAATACACCAGACTCCAGATACAATACTCCAGAAGGAAGGACAGTGTCAGCACCAATTTGAGGATTTACAGCTGAGTGATACACAAATAAGATACATTGTTATTAATAGTTAAGGTACTTGAATGTATTTTTAAGATTTAACTCCTGAATTTAGTGTCACTTTTACCTAACTTTCAGGGCAAAGTGGCAGGTTCCGTTGAAATGCATCCCCCCCACTCCTTCCACCCACTGATACCTTTAATTTTTCCGGAGCCAGTGGGTATATGGGGAGCATTTGATCCTCTCCCCTTCCTCCAAGAATGCAGTACTCTTAGTGGCCAATTACCAGGACCCAGTGGGGAAGAAAGCAGGTTATTAGGCCAGCCAGTATGGACTCTACCTGCCAGGGTTTGGACTCACAGCTCCAGCAGACAAACAGGGTGATCGGAGAGTGTGGCAAAGGTATTAGTAGATGGGTCAGTTAAGCCTTCAAGAGAACCTGTCAATTTCCATGAATAGGCAAAGTGCCAGATTCACTTTAAGGTATCCATAAATAATTAAACATAAAGTGAGATAAAAAACAGATTAATTTACTGAATACTGTCATTACATATATTATTAACCATTATGGACTCAGAATACGATCATTTTCTTGGTAGTCGTCCTTTAATTATAATCAGTTTTAATTTATTTCTGCAGTTGATGAGATGCTTATCATCTCAGGCACTGTGATACATAAGCAATAAGTTATTGCTAGAAAGTCCAAGGCCTCATCTACTCAGGAAATATTATATGCTTCATTTCTTTTTCTTGCTTATTATAAACAGAAAAACAGTCAAACAATTAGCAAATTGTCTCCGATGGGCCCCCAGGCTTCTTTTCTCCCCAACTCTCCAAGTTTATTTAGCAAATCAATTTCACTGAGCAGTGAAGGAAAGATAAAGCATTTCTCGATTCACATTAAGGGGAAGAACCTTGGCTGAAGGGGATATCATTCAATAAAAGTCCTATACAAGCACAAGATTTAATCTGCAGCATCTCGATAAGCCAACAACAAAAAAAAAGCAGCGT